GGGGCTGGAAAGCTGCTCAGAGGGAAAAGGACCGTGGGGTGCTGGTCAACAGCCGGCTGAACACGAGCCAGCAGTGTGCCCAAGTGGCCAAGCAGGCCAAAGGCATCCTGGCTTTGATCAGGAACAGTGTGGCCAGCAGGAGTAGGGAGGTGATCGTGCCCCTGTACTCGGCACTGGTGAGGCCGCACCTCGAATACTGTGTTCAATTTTGGGCTCCTTGCTACAGGAAAGACACTGAGGTGCTGGAGCATGTCTAAAGAAGGGCAATGAAGCTGGTGAAGGGTCTGGAGAACAAGTCTTATGAGGAGCAGCTGAGGGAACTGGAGAAGAGGAGGCTGAAGGGAGACCTTATTGCTCTCTACAACTACCTGAAAGGAGGTTGCAGTGAGGCAGGTGTTGGTCTCTTCTCCCAAGTAACAAGCAATAGGACAAGAGGAAATGGCCTCAAGTTGCATCAGGGGAGGTTTAGATTGGATATTAGGGAAAATTTCTTTACTGAAAGAGTTGTAAAGCATTGGAACAGGCTGCCCAAGGAAGTGGTGGAGTCACTATGCCTGGAGGTGTTCAAAAAACATGTAGATATGGCACTTCAAGACATGGTTTAGCAGGCATGGTGATGCTGCGTTGACGGTTGTACTTCATGATCTTGGAGTTCTTTTCCAACCTTAAGATTCTATGATTCAAGGAGGCAAGTGGATGGTTTGTTGAGGACTTCTTAGCCAACATGTTCTGGGACAAAACTGTATCAGAGATCTTTGAATTTGCGGAAGCAGGGGCTGATTTCAGTCATAGGACACCTGCAAGCTTCAGCATCAGGGGCATGCTATGCAAAATGTTTCTAGAGCTTAACTGGTGTTCACACTTGATTTTGACTCTCACATATGCAGATAAAAAGAAAAGGACATAGGTCTTCCTGGTGGCATGAAGCTGAAAACAGGCATTCAGTGAAAGCATCAAAATTTTAACACCAAATCAAGACAACCACACAACAAGGAATATCCAACAGGGGAGCATACAAATTTAACAGAGCTGAAATGAAGTGACATTGGACTCTGGCTCTACTATACCTTACACCAAGTGAGAGGAAGGAAAGATCTAGAGCATGCTCTTTGTTTATAATGCAAAGGAACTTTGCAATCTTGAAAAATTCGTAGTACATTAATATACTTACTGTGGACTCTTGGTAGCACTCCAAACAATACACCATATTATCAGTACAACTCAATCACTGACATGAACAAATACAATCTCTTAGGAATGTTTAGAAGCTAAAATTACACTGTGATTCTATTTACCCAACGCTGTGGTTAGGGACAGCTGTCAGAAATTTGTAGATAGCCTCTTGCTTAATCGTTTCACGATATCCCCCTTGCAAGTGATTTGCAGCCAAAGAGAGTAAACTATAAATCTGGAAGAGCCAAAATGAATTCATTATTACTCAAACTCAAAATGCATAAAAGAAATACACAGGAGTAAGACTATAAAGAGTTCTATCATAAATTACTAGTTACAGGGAACACGAAACATCTGCCACTTCTCTAAAGAATACAACTACTACGAGGAGTTAAGACTAAGCCCACACTGTTTATCAAGAGCATTTCTGAATCAACCAAATTCCTGCACGAACTGATGCAGAGCAAAACAGTATACATAATGTAGTCTAAAAAAGCTAGCATCTGTCTCTACAGAAGCAGCAATACATCAGATATTTATTTTTATGGTTTGCAGCCAAGAGTTCTACATAGTCAAAGGAATAAGTTGCCTGAAGAGCACAAGGCATATGACTTTTTTAACATCTCCATTTCCAGCGCATATATGGACCCAACATTCAGCAATTTACAACTGACAATCTAAGTTAACTATATCTGACAGACAGCGATTCTTTCAACTGATTGAAGAAGGAAGCCTTCTGCCACACATCACTATGCATCAGTGATGGATTCCAGAAGCTGAATTGCCTGTGTGAGTTTTGAGATAGTTACTAGAAAATCCAGCAAAACAAGTAGAATCTCCATAAACCTAAAGGGATGGTGAAACCACTTTCCTGAAATTCAGGTGACTAGCCAGTTTTATATACATATTCACATACGCATATACATGTATGTGTGGTGGGTTGAAGCCAGCTGGCAAATAAGCGTACTCAGTCACCCACTGACTCTCCTCCTCCAGCAAGATGGGGTAGAATCAAGGGCAAAAGTGAGAAAAAATTCATGGGTTGAGATACACACCGTTCAATAAACAAATGGAAAAAAACCCCAAAAAACTAAGTGATGCAAAGGCAATCACTCGCCACCTCCCGCCGGCAGACCAATGCCCAGCCAGTCTCAAGCAGTGGCTACTTTGGAAAAACTCTCCCCACAATTTTATTGCCGAGCTTGGTTTTATCTGGTACAGAGTATCCCTCTGGTCAGTTGGGGTCAGCTGTCCTGGCTGTGCCCCCTCCCAATCTCTTGCTCACCCCCTGTCTACTTCCTGGGAGTGGAGGGGGGGCATAAGAAACAGTGAAGGGCTTGATGATCCACAAGCACTCATCAGCAACAGCTAGAATACTGGTGTGTTATCAACACTGTTTTGGTCACAAACCTAAAGCACAGCACCATACAGGATGCTAGAAAGAAAAGTAACTCCATCCAAGCAAAACCCAGTAGAATATGTTGGAAAAATATCTCCCCTTCCAGATACAGTTTCTGCAGACATAGTCTGTGTGACAGTCCCCTGAGTTGTCAACAGCCTGACGAGCAGACCCCCAAGCTGGAAGAAGCTCATGACCGTTAAATATCTCAATACCATCTGTAAGACTTCGCAGTAACTGTGTGAAAGTTAGCGCTTCACAGGTCAAGAGGCAAGACCCACCTCTCAAGTCTGAGGAGCCTGTACTCCTTCCACATTAGAGCAAGTCATGTTAAAAGATTATATGGCCGTAGCCTGATGAACAAGTCATTTATCAACGGCAGAAGGCACTTGTAGCCTCTTTCAGTAACCTGAGCCAACAGATCACTGAGCCTCAGACACTGATCTTGCTAGCCTACAGTGACAGCTTTGTGCATAGTTGTCATTTTTGCCCCTGCCTAGCCCTAGAGTCTGGCAGGGAAAAAAAAAAAGAGAAGAAAGAAAGTAGGAAAGAAAGAAAAAGAAGCTGTAAAGTGAATCACAATTCATTAGAGTGAATTATACATTTTTGAAGAGCCATTGCAAAAAGCCACACCATTGGTTAAGAACTGCTCAAAGCAAAACACACAGAAATCTGGTCTGACTGATCCACCATGCATCATCTGGTAACAGCAGTAAACAGACTTATTTTAGGAGAATATATGTTCTCTTCAGCAACTCTCTCTCTACCTTGATAATTAGTGGCTGCTCTTCCAACAGTCTAATAGCCATTTTACATTATTTTACACCTTTTTCCCTCCTGAGAATGGATTTTGAAGATGGTCAGTACCAACTCCCCTTTTTTTAGCTTCAGTCTTTTCACTTCCAAATTCCATCAGAAACTACACACTGCAAATTAGTTTGCTATCAGCATTCTCTCACACTCTTTGGCAAACAGGAAAAAAAAACAACACATTATTTTTCTACTTCTCATATCAACATTACTAACATAAATAATCCCTTGCTCTGTATTCTAAATCTGAAGTCAAGGATTCTGGAAAAAAAAAGGTTCCCAAAGTATTACTATATAGCACTCAAAGCCCTGCAATAAGTTGGGATGTAACAGAAAATAGTCTACATAGATGTAACAGCACAAGTGTCCAACTAACTTCTATAATTCAGTTATTAAACAAACGCTTCTACAGAAAACTATAAACAATGAACAGATTTGAGGCAAAACACAGAATTTGCATTTCAAAGAGAAATGAAATTAAATACCTCTGAGTGTTTATTGATTTTTGCTAGCTCTGCTGCTGTTTTCTCATCCTTAGTCTGTAGATTTTTGTCAGCTCCCAGCTCAAGCAACTTAAAAATTACACTTTTATGTCCCTGCTGTGCTGCCCACATTAATGCCTGCAAAGAACAACTTTATTTTACCAAATTTACACATGGAGAAAAAAAGAAGAGAGGTTCAACCAATAATGCAACCTTCACAAGTTCTTACATGGTAGAATCTGGAGACAAACACAAGTAATGCAAAAGAAACTGGAAGTGGTGTTAAGCAGAAGAATATACCGATAAGTATTTCTGAGAAAGTTGTACTTAAAAAAAAACTTTTGGGTTCTTGCTTTTCAAGAATGTTATCATTAATTACAGTACACAGAAGTAAATCACTTACTGAATATCCATTTTCATCTTGGGCGTTTACGTGTGATCCATGAGCGATAAGAAGTGCAACAACCTGAGGACAGCCTTTTCTAGCTGCATACATCAATGGAGTCATTCGTCTCCTGCAAGGAAGAGGGAAAGGTGAAAATAAGTATTTCAAGATATCAAAATCCAACCACATTGTCAAGTAGAGCACCTCAATTCTGCAAAGATTATCTGTTCTATATTAGAACTAAGCTGAAGACACCACAGTCACTCTTCAGCACAAGGGTTAACTTAACAGAACATACAGATTCAGCAACTGACTTACGTCCAGTTAGCAATTTTTAAATATTTTAAGAGTTGCCATTTATATTCTGAGTGAATTTAAGTCAAGAAGTTAATTGTTATCCTCCACAAGAAGGAAACTTAGAGGAAACTAAACAGGACTCTTCCAGGAGTTTAGAATATAGACCTATAGTATTATAGTATTACTGGAAGTTTAAAAAAAAAAAAAAAAAAGAAAGATGTTTTATTACCTCCAAATTCAAGTAGTGTATTAACATACAAATAACCTTAATACATCCCAGCTATGAAACATCGTAGCTTGGTGACTAAACCATTTCTGTTTTGGTTCTGAACTACACAAAACCAGTTTTTAAAGACTATCCCTCCTGCTGCTACCAGATAGTCTACAGATCCAGCAGCAGGCCGCTCATTTAGCACACAGACACGGTTAACGAGAAGGGAGTCAGTATAACTGCAGATCACAGTTTTCACCCTACTAAAAGCAGAGAGTATCAGCGAATCACCCATTTTTTCCCCTCGAAAAAGTGGCAGAGACTTTAATTTTTTACTTCAAAAATTATTTTTAAAAGACACGGCTTAAGTGACGAATTCTATATACAGTTTAACTTAAATCCAAAGTTCTGAAAAGAAATATGCAGTTTTGTGCAGGTCAAGTTGTAAATCACAACCGAACACTTAAGAGAAAGAATATTAAGAACAACAACTGTGTACATACTTGCAAAACCCTCTCTGGTAAAAATAACGTAAGCAAAAGAATCACAGGTCACACAACTCTTGCCGGCGTGCCCAGGTGCAGTGCAATAGCACAGGGTGCACACGTATTCAGCTGCCCCCTGCCCAGAGCATGCCTGAGAGGAGTCTTCAGAGAATTACATACAAATACTATACTGAAAATCTTAACTTTTAGAGTACTAAAACTAAATGAACATCAAGATATTTTTATCCTGTATTCCATTTTTATTTTCTGTTCCCATAAGTGTATATGTTGATGCTTTCTCTCCTACATATATTACTATTTTTCACAATTGCTGAAGAAGGGAGTACTTACAGACACCATCTTTATTCTTTTTTTTTATACCTCAACCATTATGACAACAGTCTACTGATCTTCTGCTTCTATTGAGATGCTTACAAGATACAGTCATTGTAAATTGCTCTGAATATTTTGAAAGAAAAAAAAATATTGCTCAAAAGCTCCTGTTAGAAAAATATCTTTCCGGATGCCTGACACTTATTCTTCAGTGGAATAAGACTGCAGAATTGAAAAAAAATGCAGTATCAGAGTCAAAGATGTGGAGGTGACATTACGGTGGGTGTGTACTACAGGCCACCTGACCAGGAGGAGGAGGTTGATGAGGCCTTCTACAGGCAGCTGCAAGCAGCCTCACAGTCACAGGCCCTGGTTCTTATGGGGGACTTCAACCACCCTGACATCAGCTGGGAAGACCATACAGCTAGGCAGGCGCAATCCAGGAGGTTCCTACAGAGCATCGATGATAACTTTCTGATGCAAGTGGTGGAGGAACCAACAAGGAAAGGC